GCGCTTCTCCCTCTGCCTGAGCCCTGAGCCCTGCAGCTCACGTGACTCACTTGGTCATCCTGGGTGTCCCTGGCAACACGTGATAGAAGACCTAGTTGGAAGGAGGGAGGGGAGGAGGTCAGAGGTCAGACTGGGAAGACCTTGATTACATCTGTTTTCAGAGTGCAGCTGGACAAAACACTCTCTATGGGCTCTGGACAGTTACCCAACAGGAAAAGGGAAACACAGGACTGGGGCTTTTTGAGTTCAGCTTGGGCAGAACTGTTTACTGACTTTCTGTGGCTTCTATATTATGGTGACCTGGTCTTCTGTGTTCTCCTTTTGTTTCCCATTTCCTCCTTGAAGATCGGTTCTATTTTTTTCTGGGGCAAGAGCCCGTTACCTGGTCCCTGAAAGTATTTCCAGGTTTGAAACTCAAAGATTCTGAGGTTTCTTTCGAGGCAGGCGGTGGACCCACTGAGCTAAATCCTCGATCCAAGATTCTGAGGTTTCTGACAAGGCGCTGCTTCCCCAGTCCTAGGGTCATTGCACGGCCTACCTGGTCCTCTCCAGCTTGACTTGGATGCTGACCTTGAGCCGCTCCCTCGTCCCCTCTGTTTTCCTTCTCCTGTCCCTTGTGATGCACCCATCTTTCTGGTTTTCTGGCCACTTTCTTCTGCTTGTTGACACTGACCTATGGGGCCTCTCCCTGTGGTCCTCAGAGTTTTGTGACTGTCTGTGCTTCACTTTGCACAAACTGTTAGGGTGTCTGCGGCAATGCTTTCTAAGTGTTTGTGTTTCATCAGCCAGTTATAATTCTCCAAGGGCTGAAATGTTCAGAGGATGAAGGGACAGGGACACAAGAGGTAAGGACTTTTCCTTTTGATAATAACAGTGGGCTACCGTCTCCACCCTAGGCTTGTCTCTTTTTTGCAGGGCTTTCCTAGAGTTACCAGAAGAAGCCAACATATTCCAACTATTGAGCGTTTCCAAAATGCCTTCGTACTCCGTCTCTGAAGTCTCATTGTAGCACAGGCTCCGGTCTAGCAAGGATTGTCAACTTGCAGCCAGGAGTCATGAGGACAGCCCAGCCCTCTTCCCTCCTCCCATCTTGTACTCATAGATCTACATCTGTGTTTAGTAGTCCTCCCCGACCGGCACCAAATTCTGCTCCTTAATCTTCCTCATACCAAATCATGGCCCTGTCCTTTACCCAGTGTTCAAGCCAAATGTCCTTGATTCTCTCTTATCCTTATACCAGAGGCAAGCAACTCCTAGTGCCTCTTCACTCCAGAAGATGTTGCGTAATAACACACCTTTCTTTCTCAGCAGCAACAGTAGTCCAAACCATTTTCTTATTTTACCTGGATAACCTGCCTCATCTCTGCCTCACCACTTTCCCAGCCTAGATGGCTCTCTGAATCAACCAAGGTGATGTTTGTTTATTTTGGTTTTTGTTTTGTTTGAGACAGGTTCTCTCTACGTAGCCCCGTAGCCCCGGCTGGCCTCAAACTCACAGTGATCCTCCTCTCTGGACCTCTCCAGTGCTGGGATTACAGGCGTGCCCACGGTGCCTGGTTTACCCAAGTTGATATTTTAAGTAGAAGCCATAACAGTTTCTACGTTCTCCAAACTTTCTATTGACTTTCCATTGCACACAAAAGTAAGGCTGGATTCTGGCTGTGACCCTCAAAATACTCTCTAAGGGATCGAGTCCTGCCAACTTTCCTCTGTGGCTCCATCTTCTATCCTGTTTGGGACATACTAAGATTGATCAGCCTCGAGCTTCCCAGTTAACCTTAACCCTTCCTTCTACCAGGTGTTGTTCACACACAGTCC